TCCGTGACCATGAAAAGGCGGCTGGGACGAGAAGGGAGATCACACGCCGCCGTCAGTGATCCCGGCAGGCGTTTCCCTGCCACGAACATGGGGGTGTACACTTCGTGGCTCGGTGTAGGAAACGCCGGTGGTACCAGCAAAGGGGTGGAGGGCTGGGACTCCGAGCATCTCGTGTGCGTGGAAGAGCTCGACGACCGGAACGAGGCGAACGAGTCTCCTGCAGGGGGCTCCGGAGTGCGGCAATGGAGGCGGCGAGTTCGTCGATGCGGGCCTCAAGGCGCGAAATCGCTGTGTCTGCTGGTGGTAAGACAGCGTTGACAGATGGGGAGGTCGCTTCATGAACCTGATCGGCGAGCTCCGCCAGGCAGTCGAGATTGACGTCGCCGGCCGCCGCAAGGACGAGGCGGATTGGCTGAGAAAGGCGTTGGAGGAAGAGCTCGCGAAGCAACGCTGAGTGGGCAGAGACGTCATGTTTCCCAAGAAGCTGTCGCATTCGGCGCAGTAGTTGGGAGGGGCGCCTGTCACCAAGGTCCCCCTCTGCAAGGAGCTGCTGTAGGCGGACGCGTTCTGAAGGCATGAATCGTTCCAGCACCTTGGTTTTAAGGTGCTGATATGGCGTAGTGTCCGAGGGGTTGGAGAGGACGTCGGAGAGCTCGCTGGCAACGTCAGGAGGAAGGACGGAGGCTACGTGGTAGTAGTGTGTCGTTTCCGAGGTGATGCGGTACAGGGAGAATTGCGCTTCGACCTGATGAAACCAAACTTGCGAGTCCTGTGGCCAGAAAGATGGGAGACGCAGTTGCACGGCCGAGACGTCCTGCGGACGTGAGGCTTGTTCGGTTGAGGGTGCATTCGAGTCAGTCATTGTCTTCGTCCAAGGTCACAACTTGTAGGCTTATGCCACAGGAGCGAAAGAAAGACACGCCTGAACGATAACCGATGCCAGCCCGGAACGTGAGCCGTGGCTTCACGTGCCACGGCCTAGCGCCTTCTTTATTTTCTTCTGTCGCCATCGCGCGCTCTCCGGTTTGCGTGCCGCCCGAACGAGGGCGCTACAGTCTCTTTCCATCTTTTTTATTTGTACATATGATCTCGATCGCGCAAAGCGCTAGAGGGGGAGCCCTGTAGCACCTCAGAATGCGGCGCTCGTCAAGGAAGAAGGAAGTGGGCATTGGGCCGCCGGCGGGTGCAGCGCGATAATAAAAAATCAGTTCAAAAACTGAATGCTGTCAGGGCTGTATCTTTCTTGTGTTAGCTCCGACAGGATTATACAGGCACACAAATTTTTAAATAGCAGTAGGGCAGTTGCAGATATGTTCTGGTATAGAACTGCAAAATGTATGAATTAATTAATCGACTTACAGAGTTTGAATTAAGAGGCTTTTGAATACATTGATATAATAGAGAGCCAACCAAAAAACTAAATTTTGTTTGAATTAATCAATAGTATCAATTATCAGAGTTTGAATTATTGAGAGCCTACTGTAATTAATCAGGAGGTACAAAGAGCACAGCATTTACTTCAGCATATTTCCCCTTATTTGTGGTAGTTATATTTGCACTGCCCTTGTCTACTGCTCAATTATTTCTTTTAACAATGAATTTGCAATCCCGGCAGCGGAGGCTGCTTTGTCGATGGAGGCGGAGAGGCTGTAGGCCCGTGTTCTCAGATTTGGGTGCATGTTAAAAACTCCAGGTGATCGAAATTTGTGGAGCCCTCCACTACGGCGTCTCTTATAATCGTATGGTGGCTTTCAGACGTTAAACCTCACATAAATTCAGTGTCTCTTCAAAATCTGGCATCTGATAAAGGTTTCCAAGAAGGACAAAAGAGCAGTGACACGATAGATGAGGCTCGTGAGTGCTACTTATTGTCAGTGGGTTGAATTATTGGCACTTTTATTCAGGTGATCATAATTTGCAGAATAAAGGGGAACACTAAAGCCAGAAGAGAGAATGAAAGATCTTTTATGCTAATTTGGCATTTACCATATTTAGTAGCATAATGAACCCACCTTTTCTGGGGGGAGGAGAGTTCATGACGCGGAAGAAAAAAAAGTCGCGGGAGTTATAACAAAATTTTCGCATGACGGTATTGAGAAATCTGCTGTCCAGCAGCTAGCTGTTGGCCTTCAGTTTAGGGGCAGGAATACAAAGCCTCTATTCAATAACTTAGCTTTCTACAAAAAGAAACTGACCTTGTTTTGGCCCGCGGAATGTCCGAGGAATTTGTGGCTAGAAGCTCTTCTTGTTTTCTCCCGTAACGAATGCGGGTGGATCGACGCCAAAGTGTTGTCTAGCTGCTCAGTTCTCATGCTCCAGTGCATGCTCGACCAACTTTATGTTTAAAACCGGCTGTGTAGCTAGCCTACTGGCTGATTGTGCCCTGCGCAGCAGGTGACTAACAAAGTTCATTGCTACAAACGTGACAACAAAAATGCGTGTCTGATGGTGGCACACGCACACTGCGAGTGCATGTCGCGCAGTTGTGCTTAGTTTTTTGCTTTGTTTTTGCGCCGCTGTGCTTCTGTGGCATTAATATAAGTAAAGTGGTTTCTTCTGTGTCTAACAGATGGTGCTTTGCGGCAAAAGGCACAACTTTCAAATTTTCATCGACGGCGTCCCTGTTGGCGCTGCTCGCATTTGTTTGGCATGGTTGTTGAACTGTATTTTTAGTTTAGTTGCATCGTTATTTTGGGATATAAGGGTGTGAATTAATGTTATTTTGATCCTCAATAGCTCTGGCTAGCTCACTGAAATAAAATGAACAGATACATTTAAAAAGTACATTTTTTTCCCAGGACAAAGGTGGGGGAGGATGGGTTCATTATGTGAGAGGGTTCATTACGTCAGTAAATGTGGTATGGTAATCACATTATTGTCTACAGATTTTTAATGTTTACATGTTGTGTTGTAAAATTTTCCAGTATGGGCAAGCTGCAAATTTATGACCAGGCATGTTTCAATGTGAGAGGGCACTATGAAGAAGTGTCCTTCCCTGCTCCTTTGATAAGCTTTGCTTTTTTTTTGCTTGTGTGCCTGTAATTTAATTGTAAATGTAAAAACTTTAGTATACATATTACCTAATGAACTTTGTGAAGTGCTGCATTCTGTAATTTAAGTGTAATTTTTTTGCATTGATTGACTAGGGTACTCCTTTTGAGGTACTTAGTATTTTTCATTTAAAAGCGGAATCAAGACAGGAAGTTTACAGTTGTAATATTCTTGTTTTAGACTTTTGTAAAGTCTGAATAATATTAGAACTGTGGCTGCAAAACTCTGATATGTTGAAATGATATCTCTGTACATGCATGGCACACCTTTCGGTGTTTTGGTGGTTTATTTCTATCCACTCAAAATGGGCAGATTTTGAGTACAGGTAAGATCGCTAGGCAATTTTTTCCGCCTTTCACATCAAGAGGTTTAAGTATATTACATATGCTAAATTTAGATAGCACATGTGCTTTTTCTAATTCTTTAGAGTCAACATTTAAAAAGCTCCATTGATTGCTTGAAGTAAAAATTTCAGTTATTGCACAGAGTGTAATACAATTACAATAAAGTTGAAAGGATGCACAAAATGATTTGTTGTCCCAGAATTTCATGTAGCGCAGTACAGACCACATGAATTAGGAAAATTCAATAAGGCTGACTTGTTCAATGAACCCAGCAAATGTATGCAATATTCATTGGCTCCGAGCACTGGCTAATTCGGAAGTACTATTTGGATGCACCTTAATTTAAGTTATTTGGATGACCATGGGGCATGCAAATTGTAAAAAATGTGTATTGCAAGCACTTTGCTAGCAGCCAATTAAAATGAAGTGCTAAAGTCTACACTCTTTTAATCATCACCATACAGCAAGTAAGCCGCTACGCTACAGCGTTTATTCCTTCTTATGTCTTTATCACCAGTAATCCACTACCACAGAATGCTGCCACAGTTCTGGCTGTGTGTTTTTGAAGCTGCAGGCTCACTATCGATGCTGTAATGCTAACGGTTTCAGCTGCAGTGGATGCAGGTACTGGTAGTTCCACTTGCAATGTGCCTTGGCCATGCTTGGCCAAGGTTTTGGTTTCAAAACTGAGTCGTGGCTGTCCGTGTCTATGACCAGTTGTTATCTACAATTGCAGTGAGTCATGATGAACAGAAGTTTTGCTGTGGTTCACTGTAATGTGCGTGCTGTGTCACAACACATGATTAAAGTTTTTGAAGTTGAAAAGCAATTCTTCTGCGGCCTGTATGCACACTAAACACACTAGATCCATCGTGATGGATGAACAATCTCTTGTTGACTATCCCAGTGCTAAAAATTTATTTTTATGGGCACAGGGCAGTGGAAAGGGTGCGTTGGATGATACAGGTCTTGCTGTGTTGCTGTACTGCAAAAGAACTCATGAGACTTAACAAAATTTTCTTGTTGCTATTGGTATTTCTGGTCACACCTAAGCAAAGCCCCTTCCATATTTGGTTACTTTCTCAAAAACTTCATTGGAGCAGAAGTACTGGAGATAATTGTTTGTTGTAATGAGCAACCCCCCTCCCTCTCTTTCATTTTTTTTGTGTGATATAGTTTTTATAGGCAAAGTATTTTTTACCACAACTTTCCTTGTACCGACATTCGATTGTATTAACTATTTTCATCTTGTGAAAGTCATTATTTATCTGATGACAGCTTTTTGTTGGCAGGAATTTAAAATGTGTTTGTTGGCATGTTGTAAATTGTTATCTATATTCAACTGTTATACTGTAAGATTAAGATTATGTATCGCCAAATAGCCCAACCAGCTTCCCTGTTAAAAACGTCCACAGTTTGCGCAAATGAGAATGTTCTGTAGGTTCCGCACATTTTAGTGATATGCTAACTGTGAATGTCTAAGTTAGAGCACAAATTGCTTTTCTTCAGCCCTCTCTAGTTCTTACCTAGTAGTTTTTACCTAGCTTCAAGCAGTTTTGAATGTTGAAACACATGTTGTCCAAATGCTTCATTTTTCTTTACCAGGGGAAGGATATGAATTGTGCATTCAGGAGCGCCATAAGGAGGCTGTTGAACTATTCACCCAGGCCATAAAGTTGTATGCAGAAGATGACAGGTTAGTGATTTGACTTAAGGAAAATTTTGCTACTGTATGGATTTCTTGCAAGAAGTAAGCTGTTCTTATGCTGTCCTTTTCTAACTCTAGGCTGTACGGTGTCAAGTGAAATGTGATTCGATAAAGAAAAAGAAAAGCATCATTAATCTGTAACCTCTTGTAAAAGCTATAGATTAATGGCTTTACAAGATAAAGGCTTTACAAGAGCGTGCCTCTTGTAAAGGGGTTCAACTGTAGCAAGAAGTGTGTATAAAACATTTTAATGGAACAATAAAAATTTTAATGCGAGAATTTTTAGAATCCTCTGATCCTACTAATTGCTTACCTTTAGTTCATTATAATTATACAGGCCATATCAAATTTAAACAAGATATTTGCACTCTTCACATATTCGAGAAATATATTGGCGAAATTTCATCCCAAACAGGCTATCAGAAGCACCAGAAACAGGATGTTCAACTCGAGAAGTAGGGCGTCTCTCATAACTTTATGATGGCTTTGGGACGTTAAACCACACATATCAAACTCGAGAAGTTGCCCATGAATGGAGCTTGAGAAAAACGAATTTCAAAGGTATATGTGAAAGCTCATCAATGTGGAAAAAATAAAAAAGAGATTATTTCTTTTATCATGAGAGTTTGGCAATCATGGTTATTTTGAGCATGTGGCTTTAGTTAACTCATGCAAAAGAAAAAGTCTGTGCACACATATTGTGAAAGGACAATGTACATGTAGTTATTCATCAGTGAGCATGAACAATATTTATTATTCGGGCTTAAAAGCAGGCATTTAGTTAATATTTCACTGGTACTCTCGATTCGAGACTTGTGAAGCTTGCTCCTTACCTTACTGACTCAGCCCTTTACAAAGGAAGGTTAAAGGAAACTTTTAAAATATGCAGGCTCCCTCGAGGAGCTTTGTAATATAAGGAGACATGAAGGGCTCCTCACGTAAAATAAGGAAATTGTCAGAGGTAAAGAGTGTTTTCTGAATACGGGTCTCATTTTACATTAGGACACTGTAAAAGCCACAATTCTCATCATTCGCGACTTCGTTCACAGTGTGACCACAGCTCAATACCTAACCTCAAACATGTTTCGAAACAATCCTTTCGATGATGCTCTTGACTGTTTACAAGGCGCCGAGTACTTTATATCCTTGGATCTGAATTCTGGGTATTGGCAGGTGCCCATGGCTGAATGTGATCGCCCTAAAACAGCCTTTGTAACGCCAGATGGCCTATATGAGTTCAAAGTCATGCCATTTGGGCTCTGCAACGCACCTGCCACATTTGAGCGCATGATCGATACCATCTTGCGTGCCCATAAGTGGAAAACTTGCTTGTGTTACCTGGACGACATCGTAGTCTTTTCATCTGATATCCCGACACGTCTTGTTCGCCTCCACGAGATTCTGACGTGTCTAACTTCTGCAGGCCTACAACTTAACTCCAAGAAGTGCCACTTCGCAGCACGAAAACTAACCATCTTGGGACATGTCATCACAAGAGACGATGTTCTTCCGGATCCCGATAAGCTTCGAGCTGTAGCTGACTTCCCGTCGCCCACATCACTGAAAGCCCTAAGAAGTTTCGTCGGTCTGTGCTCCTACTTTCGTCGCTTCGTGTGCAACTTCGCATCCATCATCGCACCTCTCACGAGTCTGCTTTCCAACAGCAAAAGTATATCTGCATGGTCACCTGCATGTGACGACGCATTTCGCCAGCTGCGCCACCTGCTGACCTCACCACCTATTCTTCGTCACTACCACCCCGCTGCTGCCACAGAAATTCACACCGATACAAGTGGCATCGGTCTTGGTGCAGTTTTGGCACAACGGAAAGGCACCCAAGCCGAATACGTAGTCGCCTATGCAAGTCGCACTCTCAAGAAGGCTGAATTGAATTACTCCGTGACAGAGGTGGAGTGTTTGGCCATAATCTGGGCCTTGACGAAGTTTCGCCCGTACCTTTATGGCCGTCTTTTCGACGTGGTCACAGACCACCACGCTCTATGTTGGCTGTCCACATTGAAAGACCCGTCCGGACACCTGGGACGTTGGGCACTTCGATTGCAAGAATACGACATCCGTGTAGTATATCGTTCCGGTCGCAAGCATGCAGATGCCGATGCACTTTCGCGATTGCCATTAACCCCAGATGTGGCTTCTCTGTCACCCCTTTTTACCACCTTGTCGCCAATAGACACCACTGACATGCTTTCGGAGCAGCGTAAAGATCCATACCTTGCATTGTTACTCGACTACCTTACCGATCCGTCTGCTGTCCCTTCCACGAGAGCGCTACGCCGACAAGCAGCCCACTCTCCGTGTGAGACAGCATTCTGTACCGCCGCAACTACATGCCTGGTGGTCGAAAGTGGCTCCTTTCTGTCCCAACTCATATGCGCTCTGACATTTGCATGAATTTCCATGCAGACCCCCAAAGCGCTCACGCAGGTGTCTTGAAAACCTACGAAAAGCTGCGCCAACGATATTACTGGCGAGGAATGTATCGCTTTGTGCAGAAATACGTTCAGTCTTGCACCACTTGCCAACAGAACAAGACAGCTCCGCGGCACCTTACTGGCATGTTACAGCCGCTCCCATGCCCGGCTCGCCCATTCGACCGCGTGGGTATCGATCTCTATGGCCCCCTCCCATATAGTCGATCTAGAAACCGGTGAATTATTGTCGGCGTCGATCATCTGACACGCTACGCTGAGACAGCAGCTCTACCTGCAGCGACCGCCCATGAAGTTGCACTCTTCATTCTGCGCAGCTTCATTCTCCGCCACGGGGCTCCACGGGAATTACTCAGTGACAGGGGTCGAGTGTTCCTGTCGGAGGTCATCCAAGCTATTCTCGCTGAATGCAACATCATCCACCGGAAATCTACCGCGTACCATCCACCGACGAATGGTCTCACTGAACGGTTCAACTGCACACTTGGCGACATGCTGAGGATGTACACCTCCTCCGACCACACTAACTGGGACGCTGTATTACCTTTTGTTACCTTCGCTTACAACACCGCAATGCAAGCGACTACCGGTTTTTCCCCGTTCTTTCTGTTGTACGGCCGGGAACCATCCCACCCACTCGACACCATACTCCTGTACCGCCCTGATGCATCAGAGTGCTCCCCGCTTTCGGAAGTCGTCAGATACGCTGAAGACTGCCGTCAGTTGGCTCGGTCTATGACAAGTGAGGCTCAAGGTCTACAAAAAACCCGACATGACGACGTTCATCACATAGCGCCTACGTTTCGTACTGGCTCCCTCGTGTGGCTTTGGGTGCCCCCGCACGTTCCTGGCCTGTCTTCTAAACTTCTGGCCCGTCTTCTAAACTTCTGGCCCGGTACCATGGTCCATACCGTGTCATTGACGCAACCTCCCCGGTGAATTACATCATCGAGCCCCTAACACAATCGCCAGATTTGTGCCGTCGAGGACGTGAGACAGTACACGTCGATCGTCTCAAGCCCTACTACGACCCCCTCATTGTGCCTACTCCCTGAGTCGCCAGGATGGCTACTCTTCACCCTGGGGGGGGTATTGTAGTGGAGCACACGCACTAACGCGTATGTGCCTTCCAAAGAGAACGAAAAACCCCGTGCTCTGATTGCACGAGAACCTGGGCCGCCTTTGCCAGACTTGTCGTACGGCCATTATTCGTTGCGACATCGTTGCGACTTCTCTGGTTCAATAAACGTCATCACAAGTGCATCGCTTATCATTTTTTGGAAAATAGCTGGCGCAGATGCCAGCCCGAAGCACACTCTGTGAAATCTGTAAAGCTCTTGATGCATTACAAAAGTAGGAAGTTCACAACTCTCCTCCGCTAACTCAACTTGGTGGTATGCAGACACAAGATCAAGTTTAGAAAAAATTTTAGCACCTGTTAACTGTTGTAAAAGTTCCTCGATGTGAGGTAGAGAGAACCCGTCCACTACGATGGCCTTGTTTGGCTCACAGAGATTGACGCACTGTCGGATGGAATTGTCCTTCTTGCGGACGACGACCAAGGGAGACACCCGGTCCGAAGCACCTACCCTCTCAATGATGCCAGTCGACTCTAGTCGTTGCAGCTCGTCGGCAACTTGTTGCCTTAGCAAGAAGAGAAGACGATGCAGTTTGGCCGCCACTGGCTGCACACGAGGTCGAAGCTTGACACGGTGAACGTAATTACGGACGGTGCCGATATCGACGAAAATAAGTGGTGATACTCCTGTGGCGCATTTGAGGAGTCGACGAGATAGCAAGTGAGGGTCTCATCTCTGATGGTTATTTTCAGAGCTCGAATGGCATCTAATCCCAGGAGCGAGGTGCCTTTGTCCGTGACGTAGTAGGGAATCGTGGCGCAGTTGCCGTTGTACGAGACTGTTGCCTTAAAATAGCCATGATTTTTTATGACTTGCTCCAAGTATTTCTGTAGAACGAGGTGCGAAGGTAGCAACTTGATATGCGAAAAGTTCCTCTTATAATCTTGGACATTCAGCAATGACACAGCTGCCCCAGTGTCGAGCATGTTGAAAGTGGATCCATTGATCCATACGGGAAGATGCAGAAGTCCATTGGGGGTGACCGTTTCGTCCACTTGCAGGACAGTAACTGTATTGGTCACCGTCGATGTGCCTTTGTGACCGGAAGACTCCGTAGTACTGTGGCAGACCCGCGCGAAGTGTCCACGACGTCCGCACCGCGAATACATTTGGCTCCTGGCAAGACATGTGGCGGAGTTGGCCCAATGCCGCGTCGACCCACAGCGGTGGCAGGCACCCGCGTGAGCCAGCGGCGAAACTGGAGAGGAGGTATCCGCAGTAGCAGAGGGCGAGGAGGTGCACGCAGGAGAAGTCCCACCGGCGCCATCTTGCGCCGAAGCTTGGGGAGGACGGCTGCCATTTGGCCTAGCATCTTGACTCGCTCGGCGAGCTGAGCCGCCATTTTGAATTTGACGCGACGACACTGCGTTGACTTTCGCTCCAGATAACTGTAGCAACGCGCGGTCGACGCGCTCCTCCTTTCTCGCTACATCGAGCGCCTTCTGTAGTGTGAAGTCCTTGCCCATCTTGAAGAAAGTTCTTTGTAGGTGCGGCGACGCGATGCCAGAGACGATCTGGTCGAAAGCGAGGATATCGCCCGCCACGCCGAATTCACAAAGCTTGGCTACTCGGCGTACTTCCTGTATAAATTCTACTGCCGACTGGTCTGGGCCCTGATGCAGGGCTTTGAAGTGGGCCCGCAGACACGTCGCATCTGGTTTCGGGTCAAATATTTCGTTAAGCAGCGCAAGGGCTGCGTCGTACACGTCCGGCGTCGTCTTCCGAGTTTGTCGGTCAGCTCCCGGCGCATCTTCGGCGGCATGCAGGTAGGTGTTAAGTCTCTCGACACCCAAGGTGTTCAGGAGCAGCGCCTTCTTGTGCTCCAGCGTGGCGTCCCTGGCAGCAGCGTCGATGTAAACCTGTAACACGGGACGCCCCTGCCTCCATGGAATAGGCGGTGCACCAGGGCACTGAAGGAATTAAGGTGGAGGGATAGCCGTGTTCATGCTTGCTGAAAAGAGCGTCGAGACGGCAGTTCAGGAGAGACGCGTACGAGGGCACGCCTCGTGACTGGAATCGCACAGAAAGTGTAGAAATGTAGAATAGACGCAAGAAATACAGCAGCGGTGGGACAGCTTGTACGGGTGCTGAGTCGACAGCACGATGAAGAAGGCTGGATGCCCACCTTGACACCTGATGCATATGGATTCAGGTACTCGTCGCCAATATGTTTTATCTTGCGGCGGACGCACCGCACGGAGCACACAGGGCACGACACTGAAGCGCCAGCCGACACGAGGCATGCAGCAGCCGATAGCCAAGCAGGAACTCGTTTATTCTGTACAATGCCGCACATATACACACAGGGTAGCGCCCCCTGAGGGCGAAAACACTTCACATGAAACCGAATCTGGCAACCACAAAATCGGAACCGAAATACCACACTAGCGCTCACTTTTTCGGCAGCCAAAAACTTTTCCGGCTGCTGCACACAAAGAGGGCTTCCTTCTCTTTCCTTTCCTCTAACCATAAATGCTTGGCTCGTTCATGCCAAATTGCCAACCCCATTAATCAGTTGCCGACGGTTTCGGCAGCCGAGATGACCTTTCTTTAAAGACAGCCAAATACTGCTTACACAGTCCTGATATGCATAAAATCGTGGTAATCATGAGGTGTGCCAAATGGTCGCTGCGGCAGTGGTTTGCTTATAGAACTAATGCTATGTAACACGGAAGTGTGCAAAAACCTAATGATTAAGATAATGGCACCACGCAGTGTCGAAACAAAAACTGTAAAACCAAAACTGTGGATTTGGGTAGAAAATTTATGGGATTCACATATAGACGGTTTTGCCACAGCCTGCTGGTCACTGGCAACATTGTGCGTTCACCGAAAAATCACCCCTGGAAACTTCCAGTTTAGCTTGTTTTTGCGTGGTTTTAACCTTTTTTGTTGGCCGTGGCTGCTTTTGTTCCGATGTTTTATGCAGATAAAATTATTTCCACGAAGCGCTCTCAACTCGGGCACAGCTTTGTCAAGCCAGGATGCAGTCTGCAAGCCTGAACTAATTTTATATGCTAGTCAAAACATTCTGTTTTTATCACACGAGAGAACTGGATTCCCGTTAAGACCACGTAGGCTTCTCCTGCCCACTTCATTAAAGGCAATGTAAAGCTCAGCGCACACTAATGGTACAGAGGCGATACTCAGACTTTAGACTGGTCAAAAGTCCCGGTTACCGGGAACACATCAGTCGCTGTCGTCTCCCACCTGTGGCAAATAAGTGTACTGACGCCTAAAGTGGGTAACCAAACGTGAAAGATAACACTGAAATTGCATGGCAAAAGTGTTTCTCGTATAGTTCGAGCGATATAATGATGCGTACCGTTTGAAACAACATGGGACACAAAGTATCTGTGCTCTACATGAATCGCCGTACTGTGTACGTCGTGGTGTCCATGTTTCATTGTCAAAGCTTTTGATTTTTTTTTTAAGTGACGCCGGCGAGTGGGCACTTATCTGTGCGAGCAAATGGCTTATCACCTGTCTTTCTGCCGCTAATGAATATTGTTGCATTCTAGCTCATTTATCTTTTGGTGCGAACATGGCTTAGGTGGGTTCAACTTCAATGTTTGATTCATGAATATCTTACTCTTGAGTAAACCATATTATATAGTCCGTGTGACCCAGTCACAGTTGACGTCATCTAGTAACCGAACACTTCAGATCCCGAGCAATTCCGAACGCCGCTGGTCTCTATAAAGAGTGTCTGGTGTGACACAGGTGCAAAAATAAGCATTTTATCCTGAGGTTGTGTGCTTAGACTAAAACACAAATATGTTCGGGGTTTGACAGGAGAAAGGTTTTCAGTTCTATAGTTGAAAAGCTGAATTGAACAACTTCACTATGGATCGGGCAACTCTTTTCCTGCATCTCGACGATGTGGGTATGCTTTGAAGACGCGGACAGAGAAAGACAGGTGTGCACTATCAGTTCCCTGTTGGCGTCTTCAAAGTGTATCCACATCGACATGCAGAACCAACATACCCAATTAAGTTCGCTGACAAGCTTCTCCTGCAGGCGCGGCCACTGCCAGAGGTAACATGGAGCAGGGGGGCTGCGCTCACCGGAACCCCATGACGGATATATTGCGGGCACCCGTCGGCCACGCGAGCCGTGTTACCTGCAGCAGTGGCCATGCCTGTACCTGCCATGCACTACGTTAGCCCCTTCATGTAGCCGCTAGACATCGCACCAAATACATCCTAAAAAATGTGCCAGAAATAATAAAGCAGCAAACTCAAACACACCGCGAAAACAGTGCTGGGACCATTGAAAAAGCATTACTGAAAGTGGTGCACTGGAAGTCTGCTGGGGTATGCCGTTCGGCACGAGCCAGTTTGGTTACAAACACTGAAACCGTCTATAGCATCGGGCACAAATTTGTCATTATAAGGTCTGGAAAAACCCTAGTCTATGTGCAATTTTCACTATTATTTTGTTTGAAATACCTGAGGATCTCTTGTGCGCACTTCGCTAAAATGAAAGAACAAGTTCCTTATGAAATTTAAAATTTTATAACTGTGATATGTAAGAAAAAATTACACTGCCAGCTTCTTAAGATCAGAGCCTTGATCTGACATCACTTGAGACAGCACCACCGATGTGATATGTTGCTTGTAGTATTTATGCCAGTACCACTAGGATGTTGTTCCTAGATTCGTGCCTTATTGGATGGAAATTAGATATATTAGCTAGTTTGAAAGAATTGGAGAGAAAGTTGTAGTTAAATGTTTCTGAAAGCAGTATTCCAAACAATAACTACATAAAGGCAGTTTCAAAGCACCTGAAATATGTTACAGAAGTCTGTCAGGGCCCCTTGTGCTATTGTTACAAAATGTGCAGGATTTACTGCTCACCCATTTCATAGTGAATTGCCTTTCATTACAAATTGTATTTCAGTTACTTTGGGAACCGGTCATACTGTTACAGCATTTTGGAAAAGTATGACAAGTAAGTGGTCTCTTTTTTTTTGCTTAGGCTGCATTGTTAAAGTTACCAGGTTATTAATGCTATGAATAAATTGCACATCCTAGTAATTTCATGCTAAAAGACAAGCTTTTCTTAACTTAATCCTGGAAAGCCCTTTTCAGTTTTACTTGCTCTGCTTACAAGTGCATTTTGAAGGTTGCCTACAATTCAGAACTATATAGATGGTCCTCAATTTATATCAAAGTGCTTTGTCTTTTTTTTTTGTTGTCCTCAAATTTTGTGCATTCATTTCTGAATAATAAAATGCTCTTATGTATATTTCTCTGGTGAGAAAACAGTTCTCATGGATTTTCTAGTAGGCACTTTACATAGTACCCACACTTTGATGCTAGTGGCAACAGTTCATTTTTTTTTATGACAGTATTTTATTACTTTTAAAATAATTACCAGGAGCAAATACAGGAAAATTTGTATACTACACTCAAAGTATGGTGAGCTTCTGAGTAAACAATCATGTTCTGTACATATAAGAAAGGCTGCCATGTGGCTGAAAGGTTCTTAGTCTTATCTGCCATTTATATTCAAGTAGACATTTGATTACTCGGGTAAAGTGAAGCATTTACTTAGAAAAATAGTACATGTTTGTTCTCATTTTAGTGTTTGAATAGGGGGTGCACAAATTACACAAAAACTTTGTAAACACATTCTCAGTAATGTTCACTGAGGTCAGTCATGTTGAGCAAAATATCACCCTCAGTTCAAATTAAAAAAAAAAATCGACTTAACAAAGGTCGCAGCAAGGAACTATAAGGACCGCTTAACTGACATGGCAATAAACCAATGATGAACTCCCAGCTTTCTCAGCATTTGTTCAGCACTTGAAAAGGGGTGATAGAGGAATGTATTCACATCATAGGACAGGCAGAAGAAAGCTAGGAAGAAATAATATGCAAGAAAAAGCACTCGTAATGCCTTGTATGTATCTGTGAGTAATTTTGTAATACCAAGGAGCATTTTAAAATTATTGTATCTATGTATATGCAAGCTAAATACCATACTACCCTTTCCGATGTCTGTTTGTCATTTTCTTTGTCTCTTCAACGTTTCGGCATTGTGCTAATTCATGAAAATGTGCCATGGCAATTGACTCAAACTGCCACATTTTTAACCAAGCCTACTCCATTCTTAACAGCTGCTTTTGCACTGCTCAAGTCTATGTTTATGATGCCGAGCCCAATAAACAATGAATTGCAGACATTCTACAAAATTCTGCTGATCACTTCTGCCCTTATTAAGTTGAGCCGATAACACACGAGACCAAAAGGTACTAACACGAAACTTTTCAGTTGTCTTTTTTTTTTTTTGTAAAAGAAAGGCCAAGCCCTCGAGGACCTAGAAAATGTACTGCCTGTTTCACACTTGAGGGAAATCTCGGAGTGCATAGCATCACGATGGGACCAGCGCACATTGGCAGCATCCCTCCCATGCGCAGGCACTTGAGGAGCATGATGTTTAACCGCATCGCATGGCAGGCCAATATTCTGTACTAAACATTGAACGATGCCAATCTATCAGCCTTCATTCGTGATAATGGGCTTCTAGAAACAGTATTTTGTGTGTGCACTGCAGTACACTGCTACGAGGAGCACCATAATGAGCACATACAGTGCATGGTACTTATTTCACGCTAAGGAAAAACAAAGCACTCTACAACAACTGCCGTGCAGCTATGAGGGTTCAATAAAATTAAATAAATGAGAACGAGTTAAAAAATGCTGTAGGTCTGGATAACGACCTAAACATTCTTGTTATCAATAAAATTTATTACATGAGGCAGCACTCACTTGCTGGCACCGAAATGCTTGCGTGAAGTTTCCAACTTCGCTTAATACCTCGTCATGTCCCAAGCGGCAGTGATGACGGTGCTCATTTTGGACAGTAGAGTGAAGCGTACACGATAAGCGATATTGGCTCAGTTCCCACAGTAACAATTAAAATCGCTCGCTGCCTGACAATGCGGTCAGTGCGCAGCGCCATAGCTGACGACGTGGTTCAGCTGTTCAGCCCTACTATCTCTAAAGCCTTCGCGCATGCACCAGCTGCTGCCAGCGTGTGACTGCCGCGTTGGCCACATCGTGGTGCCACACGCTACGAAATTTCCCCTAAGTGTGAAACAGACTGTAGATACTGCCAAGCGTGAGTTTCGACTCCTACTGTACCCTGTCGTTGCAAGACTGCATAAGCTTCTCGTCATGTGCTTGTGCAAGTAATCGTGACATTTCTACGTCCGCTACTCACCATGGCTTTGTTGGTGATGCACGAGTGGCCATTTTGAATATTTTGATGGCACACAAGTGGTAATTTTGGAAGTTTTGGTACCTCACGTTCATTGCGTATAACAGGACTGCTGCGTCACTAAAATTAGTACTTTAACCTTACGTCAGTGTCGATGTCGGTAGGTGTGCCATGGAACATTCACTTTAATACCAAAATAAAATGTTTTCAGGATTTGTTGAGCTTAACATTTGCTCAGAACCATCTCTGTGTACAGGATATTTTGTATGGCGGAGTAAACACCCTCTGCGAAAAATGGTGTCAGTACCCCTTTTTGACTTGAATATTCTGCAGTTATCACATCTAGCAAGTGCAGATTCTGTTGAACCTATACCGTATTTACTCGCGTAACGAACGCAGTCGCATAATAAACGCACCCCCAACTTCAGCCATCAAAATTTGGATCCCCCCCCCCCCCCCCGATTTACGCAACATGGTAGCACCCTCGATTCTTGCTTGCTTGTTATCCGCCCGTACAAGAACTTCTCACATGGAAGAGAGGTGGCGGCCTTATTTGTCAATAGTCTTGTTATTGACGGTTTGTTTTGATACTTCGTAGGTAGCTTGCTGCAATGTTGGTTGCTACAATGTTAACGGCGTCGTCACGGTCGTTGTGCGAGGTTGCAGCGAAGTTGCCAAAGTGCGTCGTAGTGCATGCTTCTGGGCGGCCCTTAAGATCGCAGTGGATACAACTGTTGCAGTTAAGCGATTGTGAGAAAAGATAGCCACAAGGCGCTATGTGGCGTGCGCGGTCAGCGCGGGGTCAGCTTGCAGAAGATAGTGCCATCAACCACCGAAGATCAGTAAAGTGCAACAAAGAAGCTGTTTTCAAACAGTGTATGCGTATGTCAATTGCGAAAGGCTAAGCGACCTAACTTTTTTTTTGTATTACTGTATTTTTAGCTTCTCCCGAAAGTTTTCATAAATTAGACCTCATAATAAACGCACCCCACAACTTTGCTCCGATTTTTTTTAGAAAAAAAGTGCGTTCTGTTGTGTTGTGCTGTTTCGGTAAGTTTTGGTTTCTGTTTCAAATGTTATCTGGCACCTCGTGTGGAAGTGTTATGTACTATATATATATATGTATGTGTAAATAAATCAATATGTGACTTGCTGTATGTGTATATATGTATAAATAAATCAATTGGTGACTTGCTGTTCTTGGAGGCGGACGCTCTTCTATCGGCGTGCGCAGTGCCGAAGTCGTGGGTGGCTGCTGCTGGCGGCGTCTATCTGCTACGGCTCATCGTTCCTTCTTTTTCGTCGGCGTCCCGGCCAGGCAGCCCTGACACAACAATGGCGACGAAGTGAAGTACAAACAGCTTCTTTCGTGGTCTATTTTCTTTCGTTCTTCTGCCCGCCTCGCTTTCCCGATTCTGCTCGACGTTACTTCGGCGCTTTTCTGCCATCGCTTTTTTGTTCTGGCGAACGGCCGTGTTGCCTCGTTCATTCCTGCCTTTGGCTCTGTGGGCTTTTCTTTTTCTTCTTTTCGGGTTGGTGTTTCTCTTTTTGTGTTCGATTTCTTTTTTCGGTCAGTCTAGAATTTTCTTGTTGCGATGGTGTCTCCGATACTTCCACAACTTTTTCTTTCCACGCCCGGAAATTCGCCGATTTCTTGAGCTGATTGGAAGCTCATTTTCGAAGCGTACGTGGATGCGGTCGGGAAAGACACCAGCAAACCGGAGCGGCAGAAGGCACTGCTGCTTAACGCATTGGGCCACGCCTGCCTGAAACACTATCTGACGTTAAGTTCTGCCAACGGGTTAAAGACACCTGCGTCGTCTGATGTATTCCAAGCTGCAGTCGCTTTGTTCGACAACCATTTCAGTGATGCATCCTGCGATTATAATGTCGCGCGCCTACGCTTCCAAGAGCGTTGTCAGCTCTCCGGTGAGCCCATTGTAGACTTCATAGCTAGTCTCCAGTCGCTCTCCGCGTCCTGCAGGTTCGGCGCGCTTGAAAACAGCATGAACAGGCGGCAGCAACTATTTATTGGCGTTGCAACCGATAATGTCCGTTGCCGGCTCCTTCAAAAAAGCTCGTCCATCACCCTCTCAGAAGCCCTCTCGATCGCACGAGAGGATGAACTTGTACGCGTGCAGTTAGAGCACTTCACCCCGCATTCGGTGCAACATTCTTCTGTGGGGCCTCACGGCGCCCATTCGTGTTGTGGGCGCCGCCAACATGGCAGCCTTCTTTCTTCATTTCGGCGGGAAAACCAAGATGGCTCCCCTTCGTCGCAGCTTCAACGCGACGCGCAACATGGCCACCCTTCTGCCTCGTAGGCACGAGAAGGCCGCCACAAGGGTGCGTCCGTGCCTTCAATTTCGCCCTTTCAAGGCCAGCAGCGAGCTCTGAGCTCTTTCGAACATTCTTCTGCACAGTCATCGCCTTCTTTTTGCTTTCGTTGTGGATCACTTCACCACTTAGCGAATTTTGCTCGAGTGTCCGGCTCAGAACCGAATTTGTCTGGAATGCGATAGGCTCGGACATTATCAGGTAGTCTGCAATTCTGCTCCACTTCGAGATACAGCCACTTCGCCTACTTCGAGTAGCAACCAAACAAATACGGTCACCATTTTGAATGTGGATGGTTGCCACACAATGTCGGAACCTTCTCCTGCTCTGTCGCCCAGCTTCTGCTCCGTGAGCAAGTTTTTACAGAACTGTCCCGTGCTCCTGATGCG